GTTGCCGAAGAGATCGTTGAGGGGTGCAGGTGCATACTCCCTTGAAAGTGGAGTCTCAGATAGAAAGCGTGATGGAGAAGGCATTTGGCATGCTTGCTTTCATTGGACAGAACATTGACTATAGGAGTTGTGATGTCATGTTGCGGCAGTACAGGACATTGATGAGGTCACTTTTATAATACTACATAGAGCTCTGGTCATCCTTCTATTGGCAGAATGGTGTTAAACCTGAGAGGTTGCAGAAAAGATTTACAAGGATATTGCCGGGACTGGTGTGTGAGAGTTATAAAGAGAGGGATTTTTTTCCCCCTGGAACGTCGGCGGCTGAGCGGTAAACTTATAGAGGCTTATAAAATAATGAGGATGGATAGGGTAAATAGCCAAGGTCCTTTTCCGAGGAAGGGGAGTCCAAAACTGGAGGGCATAGGTTTAAGGTGAGAGGGGAAAGATTTAAATAGGGGTAACTTTTTCACATGGAGGGTGATGCATCTGTGGAATGAGCTACCAGAGGAAGTAGTGGAGACAGGTACAATTGCAACATTTAAAAGGCATCTGGATGGGATATTAATAGGAAGGGTTTGGAGGGATATGGGCCAAATGCTGGCAAAAGGATCAATGCAAAATTGGGATGTCTGGTCCATGCAACGAGTTGAACTAAAGTGTCTCTATCACTCTGTACAGTTGAGCTCTAAGCACTGATTCTTGAAGTAGAATCATAGAATCATACAGTACAAACAAGGTCCTTCAGTCCATCAAGTCTGCACTACACTACTGCTTACACTAGTCTCACTTTGCCACATGACCCACATCCTTAAATATTATGACACTTCAAGTGCTCATCCAAGTACTTTTTTCAAGTTGTGAGATTTCCTGCCTCAACTACCCTTATGATGTCCCACTTTCCCATTCTCCTGGTACTCATGCCAGTCCTCCAGAAATTGAAATGCTTTTCTCATACACTGATCCTTGAGCCACCTAGTTAAGTTTCTAATGTTTCTATCCTGTATCAACTCGTTTGGCCTGAGATAAAAATCCAGGGATTATTATGTTTTGAGGTTCTAGCTTTCTAATTTAGTGCCCACTGCTCATACTGCCTGAGCAGAACCTTTTTCCTCATTCTACCATTGTCATTGTTATCCACGTGCACTACAACCATTTGATGCTCCTGCTCCTGAGAGCAGGGTGTGGGGGCTTGTTATTTGGATTGGTTGTTCAGTAGAGGGGATGTGTTTAATTGGAGGAATTGTTGGGAGTGCAGTGTTTGTGAGTGGAGACTTGGCCTCAGTGAGACAATTGTTATGGACCGGACTAAACTCCTCAAAACATAAAATGGAGACAGCCGAGACTCTAACTTTTATCTTATTTAAAGGCAAGTGTAAGGTGCTGTGTTCCAGACGTGATTCAGTTGGTCACACTACTAGGCTTTAAGTAAAACACACTTTATTCTCGTACCACAGATAGTGTACAGACAAAAAAAGAACTGGCATAATTTTCACTCTATCGAAATGCTAAACAAAATAATATGTCATTTAACTACTACTCATCAACTGTTCCAATATAGTAGCATCCAACAAATACACCCTTGACAAAGACAATTTCAACAAAACAGATTTCCCTCATATGCTATCTCTACCAGTCTAGGAGAAAAAACACCGACAGAATGAATCTAGGTGCAGAGAGAGAGAGAACTCAAGCTTTTGTAGCAGCAGAAAGAGAGCTGTTTGTTATCAAAACCCCAACATCAACACTGAAAGTAAAATTAAAACCCTAGGTCTGTGACAGCCTGACTCCAACCACTTATGCTTCTTTTGTATACTTTCAAAAAAAACCCAAAGCTATCTATTTTGCTTTCCATGGAGCAGAAACCTCTGCACCAGATTTACAGCACCCCTCTTCAAGAGAAACAGGACAGAACAAATCTCTCTTAAAGGCACATCCTGTCACACAATGGCCAAGATGTATATTTGGGAATTGCATCAAATGCGGGAGTTCAACTGGTACATCTTTTCCAAATTAGGATTGAAAGTTAAAGTCAGATTCAGACAATAACTTTTCATAAGTTCAAAAATTAAAGCAGCTGCTGCCTGATTGTGGCAGTTGGCATTCAAGTATCTGATATCCCTTCTGTAAATTAGCTCAATGAAGTGACTCTGAGTAGCCTTGTGTAAGAAAGAGGTTTCTTTAGAGTGCACAGTCAGGGTGAGTCAAACAAAGGCTGAGTATGAATATCTGAGAATTTGCTTTAGACTGTGAATTCCGTGCAGAGGGGGAAAGAACTGTTTTAAGTAAGGTTTATGGCAAGAAATAAAGTCTCCAGAGTGAGAGATGAGGGGAAAAGGATACAAAGCATGAATCCAAATGCTTAGTGACAATGAGACTAGTGGTGGAGTGACTTCATGAACCACAACGTGACACAAGTGCAAAGGTAGCAAGTTATCGGTGAGTAGCGTTGTTGAATGTTTCTAGTCTTTAAAGTCAATGTAAGATCTTCAACACTGCAGTGTTTTTCTTCCATCTTGTGTTAAGAATAGCATGTCAAGTATAAGATTGATATTGGTGTCTTTTAAAAATAAAAGTAAGGACTTGTTGGACCGAAAGGTCTGTTTCCGGATGGGTGATATGGTGTTGCTGCTGCAGCGTGAGGACAATTTTGGCTGAGTGTTTGCAATTCGAGAAACCTTGGATCCAAGTTGAGGAGTTGGAGTTTGAGCTGCAATGCCACATCAGGCAAGGGGAATGTAATCCGGACACTTGGCTCAGGATGCACCCCTCAGACTAGGCCATTCAAATTCAATTGGGTCTATGATCAGGGACAGGAGGGTGTTACTGCAGGTGAGGCAGAGATGGGGACGCAGGGTATAGTATTTAAGGAGTCTCAGCCCCTGTAAACTTTTCAATAGGTACAAGGTTCATTGTGGATAAGATGGGAACTGAAGAGAAGATCAGTGAAGTGACCGCAGCACTGAGAGCCATTCAAATAGGGGGAGACCAGTATAATTAGAGCAATGTGGTAAGGGACTGTATAATTAGGGAAATAGGTACTGTTCTTTGCATCCATGAACGAGAGTTCAGAAGGATGTACCTGCGTAGTGCAAGGGTAAGAGACATCTCCTCAGGGCTAGAGAGGAACTTGGAGAGGGAAGGAAATGATCCAATTGTTGTCATCCTCATTGATACCAACAATATGGATAGGACGAGAAAGGAGGTTCTACTGAAACATTTTGAGTAGTTAAGACCTAAACTAAAAAGCAGAGCCTCCAAGGTCATAATCTCAGAATTACTACCTGAGGCATGGGGTAAATAAAGACAGGAATTAAATGTGTGGCTCAGAGATTGGTGTAAGAGGAATGGGTTTCAGTTCATGCGGCATTGACATCAGTACTGGGCTAGAAAGGAGATGTTCTGGTGAGACAGATTTCACTTGAACTGTAATGGGCCTAGTGTCCTGGGGAATCAAATGACTAGGGCTGTAGAGAGGACTTCAAACTAATGAGAAGGACAGTAAGGGTTTGGGAGAGCAGAAATGCAGACTTACAAAGCAAAAGGAGATGGCAGCAAAATAGGGCAGCTCTTTGGGTAATGATACCCAGAGTTGGACAGCTAGGGACAGGGTGTAGCAAACGTTGAAAAACAGCAGCATAAAGGGGAAAAAATGATTCATAGAATCCTTATAGTGTAGAAAGAGGCCATTCAGCCCATCAGGTCTGCATTGACCCTCCAAAGAGCATTCCACCCAGACACATCCTCCCATTTCCCATGGATAATCCACTCAGGCTGCATGTCCCTGGGCACTAGGGACACTTTAGCATGGCGAATCTACCTAACCTGCACATCTTTGGACTGTGGGAGGAAACGGGAGCATGCAGAGGAAACCCATGCAGACACGGGGAGAATGTGCAAGCTCCGCAAAGGCAGTTGCCCGAGACTGGAATTGAACCCGGGTCCCTGGTGCTGGGAGGCACCATACTGCCCTGGTCAAAAAGACAAAACTGTTTACTTAAATGCACATAGTATTCAAAACAAAACAAATTAATTTACAGCTCAAATAAAGGTTAGTAGCTATGATCTGATAGCCATCACAGAGATAATGGTTACAGGGAGATCAAAGCTGGCTAAATATTCAGAGAATATCACTCTTCAAAGTGATAGGCAGGAAGGAAAGGATAATGGCGTAGCTTTGTTGGTATGGGATGGAATAAGTACGATAATAGGAAATCGTCTTGAATTGAAAGCAATAAAATCCATGGTGGTGGCAAGAAATAAAGAGGGAACAAGGACTCAGGTGGGGCTAGTCTATAGACTTCTTAGCAGCAGCAGTGCAATGGGACAAAGAATCAATCAAGAGATAATCAGGGAATGTAACAAAGACAGGATATTGATCATGGGTAACTTTGATCTCCATGCATATTGGGTAAGTCAGATTGGCAGAGGTAGCCATGAGGAAGAATTTGAGTGTATTCAGGATGATTTCTTGGAACAATATGTCGTGGAGATGGGGGAGGGTGGGGGTTTACAGAGCAGTTTTTTTGAGGGTTTTGAGCAGCTGTTTTGGCGTGGGGGAATTTATATCTGCACTGGGAGCAGCACCTATCTCTGGGCAGTCCCTGAACTCTCTGTAGTGGCCTTGTTGAGTGACAGGATGGGAGAGGTGGCGATGGTTCAGATATCACAGCCTGCACTGGGAGTAGCCCCTGTCTGCACTGACCTTGCTGAGTGACAGGGCAGCTGTAAAAGGCTGACCCTGGAACAGGCAGCAACAGCTGCTGCGACTGACTGCCAGCGACATACTGAGGAGCTGGGCCTTTTCAGCTTCACTCACTCGCGATCCTCGACAGAGCTTTCTGCCTGTTGCCGCTGACACTGAGGGAGAGCTTTTCCGTGCAGGCACGCTTTCTGTCTGCTGGGTGGGGGGAAGCTGTTTAATTCCATACACAAACCATCCCCTCCCTCCGGTCCTCCACATCGACTGAGTGTCTTCTATGCTCCTGTTTGAGGCAAATATGGGCCAAGACCAAACAAAGCACCAAATCGAGAAAGGCTTGCGTCTGTACCAATCAAATGAGACAGCTAAAGCCCTTGACATCTGGAAGCGAGTCTTGGAAAAGAGTACCGACCTCCCTGGAAGGTTCCGGGTGTTGGGCTGCCTCATCACGGCCCACTCTGAGATGGGTAAATACGCAGAGATGAAGAAATTTGCTGTCGCGCAGATTGATGTGGCCCGCGAGATCGCCGACTCTGACTATGTCACGGAGTCTTACCTGAACCTGGCACGGAGCAATGAGAAGCTGTGTGACTTTACCAAGACCGTCAACTATTGCAAGACCTGTTTGAGCATGCAGGGCACCACCGTGGGTTTGCAGCTCAATGGCCAGGTATGCCTCAGCATGGGCAATGCCTACCTGGGCCTCAGTTCCTTCCAGAAGGCACTGGAGTGCTTTGAGAAGGCCCTGCGCTATGCTCACAGCAACGACGACAAGATGTTGGAATGCCGAGTGTGCTGCAGCCTGGGCAACTTCTACATCCAGCTCAAAGACTACGAGAAGGCTCTCTTCTTTCCCTGTAAGGGGGCCGAACTGGTCAGTGATTATGGGAAGACTTGGAGCTTGAAATATAAAGCCATGAGCCAGTACCACATGGCAGTGGCTTATCGCAAACTGGCACGTTTAGAGGACGCCATGGAATGCTGTGAGGTAAGGCACATCCAGGTGGGCTCTGCCAACACTCATAGTGAGCGAGCAAGGCAGAGAACGGGCAGAAGGGGTGTGGGGTAACCATCTGGGAGATTTCAAGTTGCCAGGGTAGCCTTATTGATGTTGGAGACAGTTTG